CGCAGTCTGTTCTTCAGTGAGCTCTCCAGGCCACACTGTCTCCGTTTCTGTCTGTGCTGCTATATACTGCAGCGTCCTGGGTTGTGTGTCCCTCCGCAGCTCTCCCAGTCCTGCCTTCAGGTCAGGGCACGTCTCTGCCCTTTGTGCTTCTAAAACCGCCAGCCGCTCCCAGTTTGCGCACACGCGACTCTGCCGCTTCGGTTTCCGTCCAGGGGGCTGCAGTTCGCGGGCGCGCAACTCTGTCGCTCCGGGTTTCCACCCCGGGGGCTGCAGTTCACTGGCGCAACCCCGGCGTTCTGGGTTTCTGTCCCGGGGGCTGCAGTTCGCGTGTGCGCCACCCTGAAGCTCTGGGTTTCTGTCCCAGGGGCTGCCCTAAAGTCCTTTCCCAACGCTACCGGTCTGCGAGTCTGTGCCCGTCCGCAGCACGCGAGGCTGTCGCTCACCGTCGGTGCAGGATCCCCATGGCCAGGCACCCTCCCTCTGCTGATTATCCTCTGATATCTGCCGGCGGAATCACAGCTCCCCACTTCGTACCTCAAAACCAACCGCCTGCGATATTCTGTTTGTAGAGATCCAGATCTTCTTACATCTCAGGTTGGTTTCATGGGTGCTCAGAGTGGTCTGGTAGATATCCAGCTCAATTCCGGGGACCAGCTGAAATAGGGTCCCCTACTCCTCCACCATCTTTCCTGTCCCCCCCCAATTGTATACATTTAAATTCTTAAATTTATAAGAGTTATTTAAATGTATATGAAGGCTTATTTGCTAGTTAAAATTTTGAAATAATTAGAAAATTGAATGTAATGAAGATCACAAAATTTAAAATGTTTAAAGAAATGTAGTTAATTAAACTATAAAAGAACTCATAAAAATTATAGTAAAAATTTTATCAAATCTAGAACAATAAAATTTATACAAATACTTAGAATATAAGTAGAGTTTTGAATTTATAAATGTAATAAATCAAATATTTTTTATTTCAAAATAATCACAGAATTACAAAAAAATTGCAAATACAGCACAAAGACCTTCCCCCCACACTGAAATATTTATAATTTGCTGACATGATGCCCCTTGACTCCCAAACACTTTAGTGCAATTTCCCACAATCAAGGACATTTTCTAATATAACCACAACATAATCATCAAGATCAGGACATAAACATTTTTACATTACCACCATCTAATCTTCAAAAACCATTCAATTTTTACCAGATGTTCCCAGATTCCCTTTATAGGATAAGGATATAACTCAGAATCATGTGTTGCATTTGATTATCATGTCTCTCTAGTCTCCTTCAGTCTGAGACAGGTTTTCAGTCTTCTATTTTCAAGATCTTGACACCTTGAAGATCTCAGGCCAGTTATTTTGCATAATGCCCATGGATTTGTTTTTTTCTGAGTTTTCTCTTGATTATATTCAAGTTATGCAATTTTGGCAGGATTATTACAAAAGTGATGATGAGTTACTCTGTTGTATATTATTTGGTGTGGAACAAATTCAGTTTGCTTCATTACTAAACATATTCTCTTCGATCACTTGTTGAAAGTGGCATCTTCCAGTTTTTTCCATTATTCCCTCTGTAACTAATACATATTTTCTGGGAGATACTATGTAAACATCCCATTCCTCAGCAAACTTTCCATTTATTCATTTATGTAGATGAGTATGGGCTCATGGTTTCCTACTTTCTGCCTGTGGTTTTCATTATTTATTTTGATGCCCAAACTGTCCCATATGTTTATGTGCCTGGACAATATGAATGCCATGACCATGAAGCTGAGAAAATGAAATCTAAGAGATCTTTTAGGAACTTTTCCAATGTGGATTCGGTGTCCTTTTGATAAATCCCTTTCATTTTTCAAGAACTTCTTTGCTTTCTGGCACAAAAAGATGTTCTAGACTCATGTATTTTCCCTGTCTCAGCCCTGGAATCAGTCATTTTCCCAAGGATGCCTGCTTCCTTTTGGTAGAAAGTGGTGGTGAGAAACCAAGATCTGGGTGCGATGTGAGCTCATTGATATTGGGTGTTGCTGTTTTGAGGCCCTCTTATTGAACAGAGCAAGGGCAGATGCATGCATAAAACATTAACATATATTCTGTATTTGTTGTATATATTGAAAATGATGAGATCACTCCAATACATCCAATTCTAATTTAATACCACTCTACTCATCTTGAGTGGAATCTCCAATCTCATGCCAGGCCATCACCTCCCCTATGAATACACCCTTCTCACCCCACTGGAACTCTGATGTCCTGCTCTGGGCTTTCCCACTCCCACACATTGAGCAGTCTTTCACCTTGCTTGGCCCCAAACAAATGCCTGAGTACTGGATTGTTTAGAAAGAGAAGAGAAGAGAATAGGAATAAGAGGAAGAACCAAATATTAATTTTTAAATCACAGGTGACCTCTTGAATAATATCTTTTCTGCACAAAAGCCACCTGCAGGGGCACATGAGGAAAACATGTTCTTCCCTAATGAAGTCCTCACTTCTCTAAAATCTTTTGGTTTCTCTTAGATTTCATTTTCTCAGCTTCATGGTCATGGTATTCATATTGTCCAGGCACATAAACATATTAAACACTTCATTTTATACATCATCTCATGGGACATTTCAGATTTTATTTTCTCATATAGAGCTATTGAAAATCTTGTATTTATATCTTCTTAGTCTTGTTCTTCAATTTCAGACTTCTTATCACTATTCAACAAATTTAGTAGATAGCACTGCCACATGGTATAGATTTTGGTCCCCTATATTTGCCAATAGTAAGACCTGGAACATTTTTGTTTTGGAAAATCTGAGCTTCAAAATAAGTAGCAAGAAGATTCTCTCCCATGAACTGTTGCAATCAGCTTCAGCATTTAAGGGGAAAAATTTAGAAAAACCTCAAGTCAGATTAAGATCTGTACCACACAAAGACAGTCACGATTATGGTTTTCTTTCTGATTTCTTTATCAACTTTTATTATTCTAACTTGCCTTCCATCTATAGACTCATTTATTTCCTAAGTTGCTTAGGGTTATAGAATTTATTCAAATTTAGCAAGTCATTAGGGGACCATGTAACATGTTGGTACTTAAGTCTTTCTTCTAGAAATGTGGTCAAAAATGACAGCTTGAATGTAGAGTTCTGTCTGGATAGGGGTTCTAGTAGAGTTGTCACCTGGGGAAACCTAAAATACATAAATCATATTGTTAATCAGTCCAGTACATCATGCAAATGATTGGCATCAAATGAATTTTCTTCTTGCTTCAATATAATAGAAATAGGACAAAAAAATGCCATGGTCATGAAGACATTTTCATGTTTCCCCTCAGGTTCTTAAGAGTAGTGATAATTCCAATCAGAAGCTTTGAGGCTCTGGTTTATGATATTACTGAAAATAGCTAGGGTCAAAACTGTCCCAGGCTCATGCTAAACCCCATGGGTCACTAACTCTGCAGAATTTTCAGGGGAGGGCTTCATAAACACATGTGATCACAGGTTAATAAATCTAAAAGAATCCTATCATAATTTCAAGTTTGTCCAATAAAAAATGAACTTGAGTTTGGAATTGATGATGTCCATGGTAGGTTTCATTAAAGCTTCTCATCAGTTTAAAAACTATTTGAACTGCTTTTTCCTCCCTTCAAATTATAATCTGTGAAAAAAGATTTGCTCCTTTTACTTTTATTCAGGATAATCTATCATACTTCAAGGCTCCTGGGGAGCTCCCGTGGGAACGAGTATTCACTAATGTGGTATTGATAAGCGAGAAGAGAGAGATTCTAAAAGAGTTGGTAATATCTGCAGTTGGAAAATATTTGATGCACAAAAGAATGAAGTTACTTGCTCTCTTCTTTTAGGAAGAGATGATAAGACATTTAGATGTGGGAGTAGAGGAAAGCTTTGGTCCTGCCTTGTCCCCATGGTATTAATTTCTTGCTAGTGAGAAGATATAATTTATTTTATCTTTTATTAAGTAGAGTCAGCAAAACTGTAAAGACTGAAATGGGTGAACAAAAGTAGTGGGTGTCTTGAGTGACTCACCCATCCAAGTTTTTTCTGCCTTTCACGGTTTTTGTGCTATTTTACAACTCTTTAAGTTGTGGAAAACTTGATGATAATGCAAAATAGTCTTGTCAAAAAGATGCAAATTAATTGTACCCAGTAGAATTCAATTAATTATTGCCCTGCATTGAGTTCTACTTTGCATCTATTTGTAAATTAATTTCAATTTTTCTTATTCCGTATATATGTTTTGCTTTTAGAATTCTCCTTTGAATTGTTTGTACTATCTTTCTGGTTCCCTCTATAATTAGTAAATTAAATAAAATAGTTCGTACATTTGTTTCATATCTTTATGACAGTCATAATTATATCCTTTTATGAAAAATTATCTTGTACACAATTATCTTGTAAACAATTATCTTGTAGTAGACTGTGATGTTTCATGAATTCACCTGACGGCTGACGAACCTGTGTTGTTGGAGTGTTGTACCTCATGTATGACATAAACTAGGGCATTTCTTGGCTCCAAGAGGTAAATTCTCTGTTGTCACAGAACTTTCACTTTGCCTATCCTCTGTTTTTTTTTTTGCATATTTTCCATTTTACTACTTTTGTGTTTTGTTTTTGTTTTTGGAACTTTTATAATCAATAAATTATTCCCCATTGGTAGTAGTAATTTGGTTTTGTGGCCAAAATTTTGTGATCTCTGTAAACAGAGTAATAGATTATAGAGATTTATTCTTTCTTGGATGGAAGACGACAGAGAATCTGATTTGTTAGTATTTTATTTTATCTATTTGTCTATTTTGAGCTCAAATTAAGAATCTTGTGCTTATGAGGAAAGGAAACAACTTTTTGATATATAGTCTGATAATTTTTTTGTGTTTACTTTTGGCCTGTGGCTAATGTTTAAAATTCCAGGAAAATGAGGAAATCAAAATTTTGATATTTGATATGTGCTATACTTAAAAAGTTACTCTTATAGGGGTGCATGGATAGCACAGTAGGTTGGGTGTCTTACTCTTGGTTTGGCTTAGGTTGTGATCTCAGGGTCATGAGATCGAGCCCTGTGTCAGGCTCTGAGCTCAGCGTGGAGTCTGCTTGGGATTCTCACTGCCTCTCCCTCTGCCCCTCCCCACCCGCGCGTGCTCTCTGAAATAAATAAATCTGTTTAAAAACGTTATTCTTACAGAAACTCAGAAATGTTTTGAACATTTAAGTTCATGTAATTAAGGTAAAGTTTTGGTAAATCAGCCTAGTGTATTTTATAGTTTTCTGAGTACAGATTCTTTGCCCCTTTGGTTAGATTTATTCCTAGGTATCCTATGGTTTTGGGTGCAATTGTAAATGGGATCGACTCCTTAATTTCTCTTTCTTCTGTCTTGTTGTTGGTATATATAAATGCAACTGATTTCTGTGCATTGATTTTATATCCTGCCACTTTACTGAATTCCTGTATGAGTTCTAGCAGTCTTGGGGTGGAGTCTTTGGGGTTTTCCATCTAAAGTATCATATCATCTGCAAAGAGTGAGAGTTTGACTTCTTCTTTGCTGATTCGGATGCTCCTTATTTCTTTTTGTTGTCTGATTGCTGTGGCTAGGACTTCTAATACTATGTTGAATAGCAGTGGTGATAGTGGACATCCCTGCCATGTTCCTGACCTTAGAAGGAAAGCTCTCAGTTTTTACCCATTGAGAAGGA